ATGGTTCTTGGTGGAAAGACTTGTTAACGACGATTATTGTGTCTAAGAAACTGATATGTAAATGTTTGTACATTTTCTAAAATAGTTTCTTTGACAGTGCGTAGGAACTGGATTCAGTGCGTAGTAACTTGTTTCAGTGCGTAGAAACTGGATTCACTGTTGTTTCACGTAGTGAGCATTGCGCTATCACGGCGGGGGACACCAGAAATGGGTTTCACACTTTGTAGCCATTGTAGCCATTTAACGTATGTTGAATGAAGGGCGGCGAGGTCTCCTAGTGTTTAAAGCGTTCATTCGACACGCCAAAAACCCATGTTCAATTCCCCACAGGTGTACAATGTGTGAAGCCCATTTCAGGTGTCCCCGGCGTCATATTGCTGGAATATTGCTAAAAGTGGCGTAAAACCATTATTGATATTGTCATTAGCGGCGAAAAACTATACTCGCTCACTCACTCGAAAGGGAGATTATCTTACACTCACTAAATCAGTGTCACTCATTCGTTACAATCACTCGTCATTCACCTTCTCCGTAAGCAAACACAGTCACGATCCATTTCATTTATACTGTGATTGAGGTCATGGGGAAGTACGTGTGTCTCACTGCCACAAATCAGCCGATTGTTTATCGTGTCGATCATGTGGCCGGTTGATGATGCAGGGTCACCCCCAGATCATGTCGCCTAAGAGGGATATTGTATCGATAAACAGGTACATCAATTATTCAACACTGACTGCTTGGAAGATCAATTCAGGTCGCGACAATGAAAACCTCACACTCTCTGTCTAATCTAGCCGATATTGATTGTATCTAACCGCCCACGTGAGGATTTTCAAGGTAATATATATACTGACACGCGCGGTTGGCATGGCCAGGATGTAAGGATGGGGAGCGAGACCTTTTCGCTGGTAGTCAGAGCACATTATTCCGACAAGCTGGAGCTATGTAAAAGGTATTACAAAAATTAAACCTTTTCGTTTTGTCACAAGTTTCCTTTTGGCTCAGTTCAAACAAGTATTATTTTATTTTACTTCAATATCAACCAACAGTTTCAACCTTGGTTGAAATCGCCCAAATAGTAGAATTTAATTCATTACTTTTGTGAGTTATGACGTATGTTCCTTTTTGGGAGGATAATTAATTTTCCTTTGCATGTGTTTGTGATGAACGAATGCTCATCTTGGTATCATGATGGTTTGACGGTGATTTATGAACACATGCTTTATTCGAAATAGCATTCGAAATATCATAATCGATTTCTGGTGGATTCGACCGGTAAAGATCCGGGTTAGAATTGGTCTTCAGTAACCCGTTCAGTAAAGGCGACTAACGGGATCGGGTGGTCAGGCTTGCTGACTTGGTTGGCACATGTCACCGTATCCCAGTTGTGTAGATCGATGTTCATGCTGTTGATCACTGGATTGTCTGGTCCTGACTGGATCATTTACAGACCGCCGCCCTATATCTTGCATATTACTGAGTGCGGCGTAAAACAACAAACCCACCAACCAATCAGGTCGATGCATGAAGGGTTTTGCCACGTAGATTTTTTTCCTGAACCCTTGAGTATAAGCATGGTCACCTATTAACATTGAAGAAATGATCTATGGATGTTGGAATGGTGTTTTTCATGAGATTTGTCTTTGGGATAACGGGATAAGGTGTATACAATGTTTGAAACTAATTGATTTTTTTTCCTGTCAGATTGCATAACTTCAATCAAAAATGGGTCTATGTAGTTTTATATTAAGCATTTTAAACAAGCATTTTTATTTACATATAATGGGATGTATCCAAGTGACTGGAGTATTGTTGATGAAAGTACAGCTCCCCCGGGAGTTGAGGTTGAAAAATACGACGTGCCGTTGAGATTGACATCCTATGATCGAGGGCAAAGCAAAGCGCCTTTGACCAGCTGAGATGAGCTGGATATTGGTGCTATACAAATACTGATAACATGATAATATAATATAACATAGGAAATCACTCTTTGATTGATGTTTACTCAGCACTATTCCAGCTACATAACGGCAGTCTGGACCAGACAAACTGGTGATTGATATCATGACGAGCATCGATCTGCGCACTTGACATACGATGACACTCCTCAACAGTCGCCCGTCCTTTACTTGCCTCTTATGAAGTGTCCAAGAAACCTGGGGCGGTGGGATAGCCTAGTGATTGACGCGTCCGCTCGTCACGCTAAAAACCCGGGTTCGATTCCCTACATGGGTAGAGTGTGTGAAGCCCATTTCTGGTGTCCCCCGCTGCGATAGAGCTGGAATATAGCTAAAAGCGGTGTAAAACCCAACTCACTCACTCACTCGAAGAAACATGTTTGCACATATAGTCAAATACCTTTGTGTCGAAGTTGAAGGGACTTTCGAAACTACCTCGAGTTGTCCGAGGTTCGACACAACCACATTAAATGATGTCTAAATAATAAATAGGCAGTGCCAAGAGTTCACGTCGAGACAACTGGAAGATCGACACATCAAACTTCGACACAACTGTGTTTGACTGTAGTACACTCTAACAAAAAAAACAGGGCCCTTATTCTCGAAACGTTCGTAGCTCTAAGAATTCTTAACTTTGATCGTAGCCAATGTGTTAAGAATGGGCTTAAGAAGTTCGTAGGGCTACGAACGTTTCAAGAATAGCTAGCCAGGAACGTATAGCTAACATTTTAAAGAGATTATTGCAATGTTATTAGATATTGATTCTGTATAATGATCTTAGTGTACCAAGTTGCAACATAAAGTCTCAAAAAACACTATAATCCAAGCCTATTCGTTAATCTGTCCACAATCAGAATCGTGTTCCTTTAAGACGGTCTGTGACGTCACTGTAAGTCGCGCGACGCAGTAACAACTTAACATCGTGACATTTCAAGGACAGCACGCCGTAGAACACATTACGCAATGTCGCATCACGTACGACACGTGTGGTAAATGTCACGTTCGATTGACATCACCGGATAAATAATGTTGAGGTTTGCAGTTGTTCGTGGGAGAATACGTAAGCCTCTAGGGAGAGAAGAGATTGTTTTTCATTTTTTATGATACGGAATTGTAATTTCAAGATGATGACTTTGAAATTTCAAACCATAAAAATATTTTGCTATGATGTTTATCTTCTAAATCAAATTTCAAACTATTGTTAAAATTTCAAAATAATTGTAATGGAATTTGAAGAGGTTACCTTAATAAACAAAATATCTTGAAATTTCAAGATGGCATCATGAAAATATACAATTTAATAATTGGATCAGACGTGCTTTCGTATTAAAATGGCTTCCGTGGGTTTATCTCCAAAGTGCTTTATCAATAAACACTGAATATTGAGTAATACAATACCGATAACATTTAGAAGAAATATTTGTTTCGTAGCGAAGCAGTCATAATCACTGTTGACTCTTAGATTGGATACTACTTTCTGTCTACTAAGTATGTATGTTTGCAGATAGGTTGTAATGAAATCTATCTTCGATCAGTTATTTGTTTTATTCATAAATTGCAGTTCTTAACCAATGTGTTGTATCATGCGCCTATAAAAAATGACGGTCAGTTGCTATCAAGTTATTCGTTCACAGGAGCGAACTCGGAATATAAAGGAATGAAAATACTGGCTTATGTCTGCACCTACATCTGGAATGAATTTACCAACGAGATAAAGGTGTCTAAGATGGTACTGACAGACTGACTGAGTTTAGTTTTAAGCCGCTTTTAGCAATATTCCAGCAACATCACGGCGGGGGACACCAGAAATGGGCTTCACACATTGTACCCATGTGGGGATTCGAACCCGGGTCTTTGGCGCGACGAGCCAACGCTTTAACCACTAGGCTACCCCACCGCCCCTCTAAGATGGTAAAATGTGATATTGGTTGATTGGGAATTGATGAAATTGATAGGAACACTGTGATCTCTATGTACTGAAAACATCGTGATTGAAAAATAACAATGCGGGAACGTACATAACAGTGTAGATTTTTTTGGAATATAAGTCGTGTAAATCGTTATTTATCATCAATATCGTGGTTGTGTCCAATATCACTGCACATGTTCTTTTGTGTGGGCAAATATTTCTAGTTAATTTGCTAAAATAGAACTCTATTTTGTAATCTAAAACAACCAGGAAGTATTCATCCAAATCTTCTGGTCAATGGCCGCTGTAGTTTGTCACCGTCGAGATGATGTCCAGAGACGTCAAGATTGATGATGCTGTGTATAACGCCAGATGCTGCATTTGGTACGAACGGGACTTGTTTTCAAGGAAACCTGAAATGTCAAGATGCCACTTGTTAGAAGATAAAACAATGAGTAATGAAACCCATAAAATCAATATCTCGTGATGTTTACTGGCTACAGTAGAATTCGGCCTCGACCAAACCAGAGAAAACATAGGGAGCGAGTTATATTGTTTAAAGATAACATCGGGTTTCAGCAATTACGAAATCAGAACGGCCACATTGCAGTATAGTAATTACTGCAGGGAACAGCCAGTTTTGAGTATTCCTATGTCAACAAAATTCACTGGAATCGAGACAGAAAGGGAACATATTACAAGTACGGTGGTAGTTCGTTTAGACGTGGGCGTTTGAGGGAGTGGGTGAATCTGTGAATGACTTATTCATGCATGTTCCAACTGATAATGACGTCTTACTGCAGCGTAAGTGTGAAGAGTTTATGAGACTCTAGGTATGACTAAAACTATTCACTTACGTATGCTGAAATGTCGTGAACGCGATGTTAACGAGACAATATAATACGATTAGAGTTATCTGAACATTTACATAGGCAAATCTTGATCTAACAAACAGTACTACCAAGGATACCACAATGTCGCCTTCATAAATGATGTATGGAGGTATAGGTAAAGTTGTTCGAGTTAACGAGGTTTCGATATATAAAGGTATTGTCATCGTTTTTTAAACGTGATCTGGCTTCGTAATAGGACGCCTTGAACTCTGACTGAAATATTCTTTGTTCTGTTTCCAGATCATCATGTTCATGACGCCAGTGATCTCAGGATCGTCCCGAGTGAGTAATGATACATTTGGGCTCATGCCGCTCAATGCCCTCAATGGCTCAGACTCAACGTTTCCCGTGTGCTCAGACACATCATCCGGAATTGTCCCACCGTCTTACGAAGAAGCCATGACGAGCGTTCTTTGTGGGAGTTTGGCGTTCGACGTACAAAGAGATTCCAGAAACCCGTCACCCACGACCCCTCGGTCCCGAAAACTAGATTCCTCGCCGAGAAGTTTCAAGATGTCTCCCACACCATCTCGTGTTGCCCCTGTGACTCAAAGAGATGACGTCATGATTTGTCTCTCACACGAATATCACGAGATTTCGCCGCTCCATTCGTCGCCAATTCCCCACATACAAAATGACAAGGGTCACAGACATTCTAGGTCACCGCAGCTACAGAGAAGTAATTCGGATCCACCTCCAGCTTATGATGACGTAGTGAACATACCTCGTGACGCAACTTCCTGTCCATCTTTTCAACGCTCAAGGAGCGTCGACTATTCGGTTGGGTCCGGAAACATCAGTATAATCAGCGCAACAGGGGTGAATGGTGTTGTGGTAAGTATAATAGCATTGTAATGATTATGACAAAATCAATAACAATATTTGACATAGATCAGGAGTGTGCCCACGTCCCCCTAGCAGCGTGGGCAGCGGCAAGGGTACATGAGTTCATATTGAACCTAAACAGCCTAACTGTGCGTTGACCATCCAAACTCATTCGGCATCATCATATTTAACCCTATAATTTGTTTGGTTGTTTAACGCTGCACTCAGCGATATTCCATCTATATGGCAGCGGTGTGTAAATAATCAAGTCTGGACCAGACAATCCAGTGATCAACAGCATGAGCATCGTTCTACGCAATTGGGATACGATGACATGTGTCAACCAAGTCAGCGAGCCAGACCACCCGATCTCGTTAGTCGGCTCTTACGACAAGCATGGGTTACTGAAGACCAAATCTAACGGGTCCCTATGATTCTGCACCTACTTTGAGGTTTCTGGAATGGATTGAATTCCACAATATATTACTCAAGTCTTTAATGAATTTCACACAATGTGAGATGTTAGGTGGAGCAAGAAGGGCAAGCACTGGCCTCGGAACCCAATTCTATAACAAGATGAACACTTCAGGGCAACTCTTTAAGACCTTTGCTTTTCTGGTTGCCATTAATCCATGTAGCTGTTTGCGTAACCAAGACTGTTATCATCCGGGACCACCTGAGCACTGATCCGCAACATCTGTAACTCATTTCCCTTACATGGGTGGCCTTGATCTTGTTATCAACGGAAGTTCCACATTAAAATGATAGGTTCTGTCTCCACTGACATTGGCATGTCCGTCGTATCATAATATAATAAAGGAGTTGTCATCCATGAATTCCGAAGTAGCTTACCTTTCTTATGCTTCCAATTGTATATTAAATACGCGTTTATTAGTCAACAGTAGGTAGTGAGTAATGTCAAGATATGGTACAAGTCACTATGTCCGAAACTGCATCGGATATACGTTGTCAGTGATAATTTTCAAACGTTATCCACATAGCTAATGTAAGAAGTTTTGAACGTTTCGGTATGAGCCCGTCGACACGTGAAGATCCGGGTTAGAATTGGTCTTCAGGAAACCACGCTTGTCGTAAGTGGCGGCTAATGGGATCGGGTGGTCAGGCTCGCTGATTTGGTTGACAAATGTCATCGTATCCCAATTGCGTGGATCAATGCTCATACTTTGATCACTGGATTGTCTGGACTCGATCATTTACAGTCCGCCGCCATATAGCTGGAATATTGCTGAGTGAGGCGTTAAGCAACAAACAATCATTCATACGTCCTGATTCGTTATTTTTTCATTTTGTTTCCTTTTTGCTTTCAGTTGTCAGAGATTGAAGAAAGTTTGCAAACGAAACGTCAGAAGAAGAAACGCATGCACCATATGATGTGCGGTTGTGTCATGGTGGCGTTGGTTGTGGTCATCCCAGTTCTCATTGTGTTAATGACTTCCGGTACCCTTTTGTCTAACAATGGTAAAGGTCATACTGCGCAGACGACAACCCAACCAACGAAAGCAGAGCACCATGAACGATTGGTCAGATCCATATTGTCAACTCAAATCGACCTAACTCTAAGGACGGATGAACTGAAAGACACAGGAGCCCTAGGTCTTCGAAAGGAACGTTCCGCAAATCAAGGTCAACTCAGCAGTGTCAAGGTCACGTAATATGATGAAAAATATGTATTTTGTAAATTCGTAGGTGCTGAATTTTCACATTTTTTATGAAAATCCTGCGCAGCCATTTCGGGGTCACGGGTGTCCAAGTCATCTGAAGTGCCGCATCTCTTTGTGCAGAGTTGCGTCCCTTGGGCGTACCAGGAGCCTAGAATCGTGGGTTGGAATTTCCCTGGGTTCTGTTTCTAGGTTTGCCAGCAGCATACCCCTGCTCGTGGGTTTCATCAAAGTCGTTAAGGTGGAAGACCCGCACCATGCTGACACAACATAGTACTGAAATGATGTTCAAAGGACTCGAACTACATCGTGCACATAGATTTGTAACAATTTTAACATTTTACGACATCTCTACTGGCAACATATTCCATGTTTAATGGAAATATCAGATCATGTTGGATAAAATTCACGTCAGGAAATATCATTTTTGTGATCACGACTGTTCGTGCTTGTTCCCGCTTGATAACATTAGGTGAATCGTATATATTATTATGTTTGAGAAAACGGTTTACAGATAGTTAAACACATAGGGAATGCTATATTCTACATCCGTGCGTAATGGAAAAGTCAGGAAGACCCAGCGTCATGTAGTTGTAACAACCCTCATGGACTTCAGAAATAATGTGTGTGTCAACCGCTATAGGTACAAAGGATGCTAAGACCCTTTATAGCGCTATTCCGTGCTTCACGGTGAGTGAGTGAGTTCAGTTCAACGCCGCACTCAGCAATATTCCAACTATGTGGCGGCGGTCTGTAAACAATGGACCAGACAATCCAGGGATCAACAGCATGAACATCGATCTACGCAATTGGGATACGATGACATGTGTCAACCCAGTCAGCGAGCCTGACCACCCGATCCCATTAGCCGCCACTTACGACAAGCGTGGTTTCCTGAAGACCAATTCTAACCCGGATCTTCACGGGTACCGTTCTTCACAGTGTAGTCCAAGGCGACGAAATATTTATCTGGTAACCGGACACCAATGTTCCAGTGTTGAAAATCATTGTTCGTTCTGGTGCGGTGTGGTACCCTGATGGCGAAAGCGTCAGCTTGTCACGCCGAAAAACCCGGGTTTGATTCTCCACATGGGCACAGTGATCAACCGCATGAGCATCGATCTACGTATTTGGGATACGATGACATGTGTCAACCAAGTCAGCGAGCGTGACCACCTGATCCCGTTAGTCGCTTCTTACGGCGTTGCTGTAAACCAATTCTAACCCGGATCTTCACGGGTAGGGTAGACGTGAAGTCATAATAAGGCCAAGTACATGCTTTGTTCAGTTGTTTGTTTCAAGATTGTTTTGGACATAATAATTACATTTTTCCAAAATCGCCTAGTAGAATTTTCTCCCTTTGTTTTGTTAGGATCCTAACACGCTGGTTCGAGTCCCAAGCTCTCTCTCATTATGATACGTGCTGGTTTAGTAAGTCACCACGTGTATATTTCGCGCACATTAAGCTGATATGCCGTGAATTGTATTCAAAGCGGCAGAAAACACTACTCATTCACTTTTAATAATAACTGCACTTATTCATGTAAATTGCTGCAAAATGCCAAATACTAGCGTAGTCACTAGAAAAATTTTAATCAACCAAAGTGCTTGGCGAACAATCTGTTGCTTCAGATATGCAAGAAAAGGGAATATGTCAATGATTACTTCCCTTAGAAGTCGACAAAACCGCGTTTTCCGGTGTATTATCTATATTTAACGTCGTATGCGTATTTATTCATGTAGTATATATGTAGTCTCATTGAAGCAAGTATCACGCCATGAGATGTTTTATTTTTATTAAACCTAATACTAACTTTATATGTGTAATTGTGATGTGTTCATCAAGTCCATATGTTGATAGCATGGAATAGAAAGACCGTTGAGTCGAAGTTTGATATGTCGAATATACGGTTGTCTCGACCAAAGCATGTCCCCTGAGTATCCCTTCCTGTATCTTCGTGTGATGGTTGGATAACTCAAATCAAGGAGGGGGCAAAAGATAACAATACCTCACACTGATTTTATGTTTCATTTTCTATTGAAAATATCTTAAGTTAGTATCTAAAGTTAGTATACTCAGAACACTGAACGGTACTGCTTTGTCAACAGTCGAATATATATATTTCTTCTTGGTTCAATGTTAACATTATGTTTGAGTTCAAATATTAAAAACTTTTTTTAATTCATTTTCGCATACTACACAAATGCTGATGGTTATCTTAGACATCTGAGCTTTAAAAGTCAATACTTTTGCTTTTTGCGTCACAGATTTACGTTTCAAAGATGGTCAAAGGTCATGAACTTTTTTTTCATTCATTACTTTTTTCAATGTAATGTGTTTAATAACATTAAACACTCACTTATTGACTTATTACACTGCTGAATGAGTGATAATTGTGGTGACGTAGTGACATTTAATACCTAAAAATACATTGCCCCTCAAGTAATTGATGCATAACACGTAGTCTGTCTAACCTCTACTTTATCTACTGCCTAGCTCTGCCTGCAATGCTAAAGCCCTAAATGAAGCAAGTCTAGATTGCCTCAGGTTATAACTTTTCCTTCTCACTTGGGCTCGTTTTCAATTTAAATAGGGTTACTTCTTACTATCAAAATTAGTTATCAATATATATACAGTGGAAACCTGATGAGTAAGCAGTCTTTACTTAGTCGGTTTCCACTGTATATAGACAGACAGACAGAGACTAAATGTTAGTCCACATAACTTTCAACATTTGCTAAGGAGCTCACTTTTGTTATAAGATGACTTCATGTCCTTAGCACACGTTGAGTACTATACAAGTTATGTGGAATTATGTATAATCTTTTGAAAGAAAATTTGCTTTTGGTTCATAAAAGTAATATGTGTGACCTCTGTGACCCGATGGTGCTTTGTTCTAAATGTGTAAATACTTCCACATGTGTATATTTTTCATACGTTCAGACATTGTACGTAAAAATGTATATTTGATATATATATATATATATATAACTGTATGTAGCTTTACGCTGAACGTAAGTTGTAGCAGCGATGGGGTAGCCTAGTAGTTAAAGCGTTCGCTCGTCACGCCGAAGACCCGGGTTCGAATCCCCACATGGGTAACTATGTGTGAAGCACATTCCTGATATTCCACTTTCCACGCCGTGATATTGCTAGAATGTTGCTTCAAGCGGCGTAAAACCATACCCCTAAAGCGTAAGTTGCATACACACAAGGTATATTCTTTCCAGTTATGTTCATTTATGGAAACAAAAAATCAAACTTGAATAGTAGATCGATCCCTTGGCAGCGCTATACCAAAAGACGTTAAGAGATGGTACTTGTTACCCTGCCTGGTGCTTGACATTGAGAGAATAGAACAAGGACTGCTGGGTTCGGAGTCAGAACACAGTGTCTCTGGGGTAGCCTTGTGGTTAAAGCGTTCGCTCTTCGCGCCGAAGACCCGGGTTCGGTTCCCAACATGGGTACAATGTGTGAAGCCTATTTCTGCTGTCCCCCGCTGTGATATTGCTGGAATATTGCTGCAAGCGGCGTAAAAGTAAACTCACTCACTCACTCACTGTGTTTCTGTGGATATCCACCTTAAACTACTGCATTGTTTGTATGTAGGTAAGCACTACGGCATCAGCTGAAGTCAGCACCAGTTCAAGCAGCCAACACACGCAGCTACGTACATACGCCCGTACGCACGCACAGAACACGTAACTAGAGAGTGTAATGGTCTTGAACCTGACACAAATCCCATTTTATATCACCAATCAGGATAATTACTATATTTATGTACGTTATTACATTTTGGTTATATAGCAGTGCATTTACACGAGGCATCGTAATTCAAGTTGCGTTTCAGAAAGAAATAATTATGATAAATAGTTGGAATCTCGAATAATGATTGGTGGTTTCAGCCCGTCTACAGCCCGCATCACATTAGGTTTTCCTAAACATCAACGCTAAAGGCCACAAAATAACTGAAAAACCGTTGAAAGCACCGTAAACTAAAACTCACTCAAAAATAATTGTTTTTATTGACCCTTGTCTGGGACCACTAAATAACCGGCCATGGAAATCCACTGTTTAGAATAATTGATTTGCTGAGGTAGCATTAGGACAAATATTTGTACTCATTAAAGTAAAAATATATTCATGAATATTTGAATAATACTGATTTTAGTCAGATAGCTATAGAATAGTACAATAGAACACATGTTTGTGTTAAAAGTGAAAAAAATTATGATGTATTTGTACTGTATATGAAAGTATTGTTCGGAACAATAGTGTTTTCTTTCTCTTAAGTAAAGAAAAAAGGTATGGAGTTCATTTAGGAAAAGAATGTTTACATGAGAGTCAACGTCAGTTCGTATTTGTTATACAATGCTGTATATATTATTATATTTTGTATCTGTATTTGTAAGTTACATATATTGTATATATGAATATCCACGTTGTTCAATGATGTCAAGGGGAAATGCGTTACTCTGAATAAACAATATCAAAATATACTCTGTTTAATTTTGTGAGTTTTATAAAAATGTATATTGTTGACGCACGCGCACTCAGCTAAGGGATTTTGGTTTACAGTCGTTTTCGGTGAGTGATTGTGTTTCTGTGCCGCATTTTTTTACAAATTTACAGCCATGCTACTTGAGGAACGACAAAGAAAGACGCCCATAAGGCTACCCCTGTGGGGAATCAAACCCGGGCCTTCGGCGTGACAAGCGAACGATGTAACCACTAGGCTACCCCACCGCCCCTGACCCATAAAGGGATTCGAACCTTCGTATTCCGTGTAACCGGCCACAGTTTTAACCTCGAAGCTATCACACCACTCCGAAGCAGTTTCGAATGGCGATTTATTTGTCTGTGTCAGTGGGGGGAAACCTGTAGTCGTTGTAGTGATTATGGTAAGCATCGAACAAAGGTAATAGAGGTGCTGAAGGATCAACGATCAGCGGATCCTGTCCTGGATAAGGGGCTTAACGAAATTTGGCGCTCAGCCAATGACACGCAACCATATGGCTATATGGCGAAGGTTTGTAAAGAATCGAATCTGGACGAGACAAGCCAGTGATCAACATCATGAGCATCGATTTACGCAACTGACATACAAGGACATGCATGAACTATGAGGGCGAGTTAACCACCCGACCACGTTACACCCCTCTTACAATAAGCAGGGGCTGTAGGGAGCCTAGTACTTCAAGCGTTCGCTCATCACACCGAAGACCCAGGTTCGATTCCCCACATGAGTGCAATCTGTGAAGCCCACTTCTGGTGTCCCCCGCCGTGATATTACTGGACTAAACTTTCACACTACAAAAAGCATGGGTTGCTGAAGACCAATTCTAAAAGATTTTTACAGGTTGCAAACATTATGTACTTGGGACCAAAATGCATTTTTGAAATACGTAACAATTACAGACAAAATACCCGAAAAACCCAGTGAGTCAAATTCCAGTTGGTCTTGTTAAAAAACTTCTTCACACCAAAATCCAATGTTCAATGACAAACGAGCGGCGAATCGGAGGC